TTTTGTTAATGGGCCTAATAGAATATTTCGGCCTTTTTTCACACGAATTATTCATTCGTGCCCATCTACCGTTTCTCAGGGTACAAACAAATCGACGACGACATCATTTTGTTAGTCAATCTAGAGAAGTATCTCTTGCAACGAAGATGCTTCCAATTCCGCAGCTTCAGATTCGCTGGAAATACAGAGTGATTTGGCTCTTTGAAATTGATGGATGGCTTGGGAAGGCCAAGGCTGAGCATCGCGGGAGGAGGACTGATCAGAGGTACAACCTCCACGGGCTGAGTATTAATGGGAGTTCCTGGCTGCATCTCCCATTTGAACGGAACACCCTCTGACCTCCGGTGATAGTAGTATCCGACCGATGAGTTTCTCGGGATTGATGGTCCGTTTTTGCATATTTCATTCTCCTTCTCCATAGGACCAACGATGCTTATGGTGTCGGAGTTGTGATGTGTTCTTGATTTGAATATAGGGTTCTTGTTTTGATGTTTTGGTTTAAAGAAAGAGAAAAATATCGAATTGGGAGACTTATGTGATAGGATTTTGGGAAGTATGGTTAGATGGGAATATAATTATATATATAGAGATGGAACGTAAGAATTCGTGAATGATCAAGTTGACTTGTAATATTATTTGTTTTATGAGTTGGAAATGTATATTGTAACTTGTAAGTACGTAACTGAGGGGTTTTGACTTTTTTTATTATACACTAGATGCTATTGTTCAATAGTTCAGTGACGCAATTGCTTTTGCAGGGTCAAGGTACCATATATTACTATTCCTTCATCATTCATGTATCCAATTCTCCTTTTTTAGAAGTTACTTTTTTTAGAAGTTGGAACCGAATGCTTAAAAACCATCAAAGTATATAGTTTATTTTTGGTACAGTCATCTCTGTAAGCAACAAATTTTAAATATTGTTGTACACTTGTACTCATATTATATATGGGAAATTGATGGATTCATAACTATAAGCAGATATAATAAATATATAGTTTTCAAGAGAACTAAATAAATTTTGTGAATCTATGATAACTCTGATACAAAGTGGACGTTAGCGACTTTGTTGTTAAACGGTTCATATACGCATATGAGGACTTAAGACCAAAACTCTATAGAGACGCCAAACTTTGTCCTCTTTAACTATCAATTATTTGTACGTCATCAATACCTTGGAAAAGGTCTCACAAAAATTAAAAACTACTCCCTCCGTTTTATAATATAAGATGTTTTGCCAAAAACACAAATATTAAAAAAAAAAACTTCTTTTAAAAAGTAGAATTTAATATATTAATTAAAACAATTCGATATTATGAAACAAAAAAACTAAAAAGTAGTATCAAAACATCTTATATTATGAAACAAAAAAAACTCCAAAACATCCTATATTATGAAACGGAGGGAATATCATAAAATTTCGGTCATAAGGCAAGCAACAAATAAGATCACTACAAGAAATTATGTATTGGACCATTATGATGTCTGTAGCGAGTCATTAGCTTGTTTTCCAAGGTTAAGTTAACCTAAACTCTTTTTGTACAAATACTTCCACTGCAAAAAAAAAGAAGCAAGGGGATTTGTGACTTATAAATTAACAACAATATATTTCCCATGAGAAAACCAAACAACGATTTGGCAAAAACTTTCGGTATATAAAAAAAGCAAGGGGATTTGTGACTTGCAAATTCACAACAAATATATTTCCCATGAGAAAACCAAACAAAGATTTGGCAAAAACTTACGGTATATAAATGCCTTCAATAACTGTGTTCTCGCATTTAACATAAAGACAAGAAATCATGTTATCGTTTTCTTGTGCAAAAGGTTGGTTGAATGTGTGTCCAAGCTTCCAGAGGCATCTCTAACCAAGCTCAGTGCTGCAGATGTGGAGAAGCTGAATATACGGCCCATGTCTTTTTCCACTGCAATTTCGCAAAGCAAGTATGGCTCCTGGCCCCTTTCCAAACACACAGGTCAATTCTCTCCAAGTGGTAAACTTAACAGATGGACTAACTCTATCAAAGCAACTAGTCTGCTTACCACCGTCAGGTATCGCATCCGGACCACTGGTTCCTTGGGTCTTCACAGAGGAAGAAACAATGACAAAGGACGCGAAAGAGTGGCTCTGTGCACAACGGTCAAGTAATAAAGCTATCACTACACATGAAAGCCGACCAAACGACAAATCGGAATTTTCAGATCAGAAGCGTGCTGTCGGACTGCAAACAACTCATCAATCTCATCAACGCAAGAGGATCCAACTCAGAGATTTATGGAATCATGCAAGATATCCCAAAACTCTCCCACGATCTGAAAATTTCCTCTTTCAATTTTAGCAAAATCAGCAATGTATTCTGAATTGGCTCGGTCCGGTTTAACTGCAATTTCGGTTTAATTAATGAAAAACCTTTTTCGACCAAAAAAAAAGAATGTGCGTCCAAGAATTGTTGCAAACCATCTCTGAACACTTTGTCACTTTACSCCTCTATAAGTCTCCACTTTATGGATCTCTACTATTGAACCAATGTTTATTTAATAGCGATTTTCCTAATTATATGTATATCAACTCAAATGTAAGTCTCCTTTACATCACTGTCATACATCGATAATAAACAAAGTTACATCACTAATTCTTTTTTACCACTTTATTTTTTTTAAATTGATTTAAAATAGTTTACATC